CTTTTCCAGACTTTACAAGCTCTGTTTCAGGCCGGATGATGGCGCCGTACATATCGTAATGCCCTCGTGGCTCGTGCATGATTCGCTTGCGGATGGAGTCATACTCGCGCAGTGCTTGGTCGCGCTGTTCCAGCAGTGTTCCTTGCAGCTCTGGGAACCCTGCGTAGACGATCCGCGTTGGCTCGCCAGTGGTGTGCATGTCGATGCATTTGATCGGCTGCATTGAGCTGTTTGTAAACGCCTCCGCCAGGTCCATGGTGGGCCGATCGATTACTGTAGAGCACGATACCTTGTTCAAATTAGTAGTCGATAGGAGGAGAAAAGAATACGTTCCACGCAGAATAGTATTTGACGCAGCTTAGATATGACAGCCAGTACGGAGTTAACTGAATACACCAGTATAGTCAAGTAGGATAGATTTGTCACCGATGTTATCCGGTGGGCGACCCGGTGGGGCAATATCGACCTCTACACCTGTCAGTGTCCCAGCTCATGACTCTTATACAAGCTTCTTGTCTTCACAGCTCCCAGAGGACCGTGTTTGTCGATAGTAAGCCCGTACAGTGAAGTAGTCAGCCGAGAAATTCGCGTCAATTGCTCTTCCGGTTCACCCCGCCGTCACCGGGATAGAACCGTGGAAATGCCTCGACGGTCAAGAGTCCACGTATCCAGCAGAACTGATGATAATTCCAAGTTATGATCAGATTAACCTGAAGCGGTCTCAGAATTACTGTCTTTCTTGCACGCGAATACGCGGTGCCCATGCGAATAGTCGACGCCCAAATTTAAGTCTGCAGATGAATACACGCGCATGAGTCATCATAACCGCAGACATGCACAAACCAAACCGCCAAACCGTCGTCTCTGCAGACGGGACCAAAAATCTGGGCTGAAGCAGTGGGCGATCAAACGAAACCGGCAGTCGTCTTCCTGCACGGCTTTGCGTCGTCGTGTGCGGTGTTCGAGAAGCAGTTTGCGGACTGCCTGCTTGTGAATAATCTCTACTTGGTAATGTTGACCTTTCTCTGCCTGCCTTTGTGGTTGTGGGACTGAGAAGAAACGATTTTCAACAGATTCGCTATGATCTCCGTGGCCACGGCCGCAGTGACCAACCGACTACCCCGGAGGCATACACCTCTGCTCGGTTGGCTGAGGATCTCGCTGCTGTGTGTGAGGTCCTTGGAGCGACAAAGCCCTATCTTGCTGGATGGTGCGTGAGGACAGCTTTGCTGCTATCGATGCACATACTACTAAAGGCGCTTTTACTGACTATTCTTCCCTGCTGATTGAAAAGGAGCTATGGCGGTATGGCACCCTTATGAGAACGAAGAATTTGCATTTCTCCCATCTCCGTTTTTACTTCTGCTTACAAGTCTACAGCCCTCATCACTGCAGACGTCTGCGCCCATTATGGACCTGAATTCATCGCCGGCAACATCCTCCTGGGCGGCGTGCCTTACAAATCCGCTCACCCAGCGGTAGGAGACCAGGGGATTTTTGACCTACTTCCGCGGCTTCTCAGCTCAGAGGTGGACGTATTTTCCCAGGCCTGTAGAGAGATGGTGAACTCGTGCTTCTCGCCTGGCTTTCCAGTCCCTGACGAGACAAAGTGGGCGTGGATGGGCGTTGTCGCTGCTCAGGTACGCAGACGAGCCGTTGAATCAAGTCCAATATAAGCTCATTTTTTGTTGCGCATTCTGACAAGCTCAGACCCCGGCTGTCCGCTGCATTGTAGCAACGCGGGAGCAGGACGAAACTGCTATCCTCTCAGCTCGTCATCGACTGCCATTCCTTGTCATCCAGGGCACGGCTGATCGGCATGTCCGCCACGAGGCGCTCGAATCGTTTATGCGGACGCAGTTCCCTGATGTGTCTGAGTATCATCGCCTGGATGGCGTTGGGCATGCGTGTTTCTATGAGAAGCCTGACGTGGTTGATCGGCTGATCGTCGAGTTTGTTCAGCGTGTACAAGGGACGCTGGCAGGGTAGATTACTGCGGTGTAGCTAAGATGGAGAACGCACAAGCTCTAGCTATAGATCAGTGGTATTCTCCACTACATAGACTGGAATAGAGCCAAACGACGATAAATAGGGTGATGTAAAGTATGTTTGATGATTTATTGAGTCCACAGATGTAGCAATTTCCAGCATTTATCGTCATTCATTTTATCGGTAGAGTCGGATCGCCCATGCATCTGTTGTCAGAACGCAACTTCGTTGAGCAATATGGCGGTATCTCTTAAAGGTTTTCGCCTCAAGAGTCTCAAATGTAAAAGTTCCTGTATATTTCGAAGTCTTCTATATTTTTCAAAAAAAAAGGACATAACCTTGCCGCGAATTCGCGAATTGCTTCGTTACTCGTTTCACTTTCAAATGGATTTCTATGCAATGTATAATAGATTCTACTCCCAGCCATCCTTTTTGGCAACAGATGGACAGGAAGGTGAGACCATGGAAAGCAATGAAGTGATGAGTTAAAGCTACCGCAGAGAAGTGAGAAGTTCATCTTATGTTCCAGACATTCTCCGCTTCGTAGCAGACATAACTTTGTAAACTCTGGTCTATATCGGGTATGGAAGACATTTACTGATTGTTTCTGGGTATTATCAGCAACAGTAAATAGGAGTATTTGGATCTGCGGTTGAGGGAAGGTTAATAATTACTCGAATCTACAACGGAAAGATGAATCACCTTCTTAGCAGTACAGTAGATAGCCATGATTCAGTCAGAATTATGACCTACGCAATGACAAATGCCTGACAACATCCAGGAGCCGTACATAAGCTCCTCGATTGCTTTCTGTAGCGTGTGTTTCTACATTTCCAAGACTCTCGTTACCATCTCTCACCACGATCCCTTTGATCTGAACCGAAACACGTCGCGCGTTTAAATCGATCAAAAATGAAACTAGCATTCGTTCTCCTCCTGGCCAGCACTGCGTTCGCAGCTCTTCTCGCCCCAGAAGGACCCAAAGATCTGAAGCCCCGTCAGTGGTCACAGACAGGCGTATTGCCTTCGTATCAGAATAGCACAAATATTCCGACAAGTCCGGGATTTCCAACTGCTACTGCAGCTCCCCCAAATCCAACATCTCCGAGAACACCTGTTAATTCCAGCATGCCCGTGACGACATGACGATGACATATACTACCACCACCTGCCCAGGTTAGTGTCTTCATCGCTGACATGATAAGGGAATTTCCGGCTCACAGCTTGACAGTTGTCCCGACCAATGTCACCAGTGGTTCCTCTGTCTATAGCACGTCTGTTACCCAGACCAGCATCATCACTGTTACTACCGTATCCACCTGTTCGAAGGGCTGTCCAAATCCAACGCCGCCTCCTACTTCGACTTCTACTGAGATTCCCACGACCATGACAAGCACTTATACCATCACCACCTGTCCCGGTGAGCTCGGACTTCCCTGATATGATGGAGTCTCTAGCTCATAACATCCAGTTTCCTTTAGCACTGTAACTAGTGGTTCCGTCACCTATACCCAGCCCATAACTCAAACAAGTACTCTTACGGTTACGACTGTAGTAACCTGTTCCGGCGGTTGTCCACAGCCAACGACGCCTTCGAGCAGTCCTGTACCAGGTCCCACTTCCAGGACCATCACGATGACTTATAACACCACTTATCCTGGTCCGTTTCAAATCCATGCTTTTTTTGTTATTTTCAGACCTGCTAACGTGGTGCTACAGTAACGGATACTACTGCTACAAGCGGCAGCATAACATACACGAAACGCATTACCCAGACCAGTACGGTGACGATGACCGCAGTGTTGACCTGTAACACGGAGTGTCCAAATCCAACAGCACCACCGACCACAGTTACCGTCACTCATACTATGACAACCTGCCCAGGTCAGTGTTAAGCACCGTATCCGACGTGCAATGGCTCAGACTGCTTACGATCCTTTCCTAGCTAGCTGCTCGACAATGACCAACGGTTCCTACACTTACGTGCAGCTCGTCACTCAGTCCTGCACCATCACTACGGCTGTTGTGACGACCTGTGTTAGATGTCAGCCTACCACACTGCCGAGTTCTGATATCAGTTCTTCGAGTTCTTCTAGTTCTTCCTGTTGTTCCAGGTCTTCTACTTCTTCTACTTCTTCTCCTTCTTCTTCTTCTCCTTCTTATCCTGTTTTCGTTCCAAGTTCTATTCCTGCTTCTGCTCCATCTGCAAGCGTCAGCACAATCTATACGACCGTCACCACAATTACCTGGCCAGGTAAGCAAGTCAATCCAACAAAAAGGCATGTCCGCCGCTAACATTCTACAGTTGTGACCTTCAGAGGCACGGACGGACAATTACAGACCAGCACAGGAACGAACACTGTCGTCAGGGTATCATATTACACCTCATTGATTAGCGAGGCACCGCCAGCTGCAACTGTGGCTGGACCAGCATCTGAATCGATATCACCCCCATCAGGACCTGTATCTGCTACAGCATCATCTCAAGCTCAGAAACCCTCTCCTGCGACTGCTGTCACACCACCAGAGACCGCAACTCAGTCCCCTCCAGCAGCGCCTGCGCCTCCTACAATGACTCCATCTGCGTCTACTACAGTAACTCATCCGCTTGGCACCACCGTCTGATGCCTCTATACCTGCCGTACCTCCGTCGTCTCAGATATCGCCCTCGACAGAAACTGCGCCTTTCTCGAATCCGCAATCCCAACTTATCTCGCCTCCAGCTTCTATCTCTGTACCTGAGACTGAAAGTCAGTCCCCGTCTCCAGCAGCAACTGCATCCACTCCAGAACCTCAACCCCAACCACTACCACCGCCGCCTGCTGTCTCTATGCCTGCGACGATAACTACGTCGTCTCAGCAGCTATCGTTCCCAGCAGCAACTGCACCTGTCTCGAATACTCCATCCCAACCTTTCGCTTCTCCGGCTTCTGTCTCTGTACCTGACTTCAACTCAACTGCCTCCTTCGTCGCCTTCCTCGGCAGCACCTCAACATAGTCCAGTATCATATTCAGCTCCAGAACAAGGCACACCAGTACAGAGCCCATCTTCGACGCAGACGTCACTTCCCGCGCAAACTCTGCCTCCAGGACGTAGTCCATTCCTAACAGGACAAACATCCTGGGCAAGACCTACCGCGTCACACTTGCAGACTTCCTGGATTATCCCAGAGAGTCCATTATTCATGGGCAATGCTTCGCGAGTGACAGCGTTCAACCCATTATATGCACTGCTGGCAGGAATACCTTCGTTGATTGAGGTCTTCTAGTTGGGTAAAATTTAACTGGACATGTATATGGTAAGTATATAAATACTTGTACTTCTTCATTGAAATAGTCTGCTAAGAGATAGTCTATATTTAGGAGCGAGGGGAGTCTGTATTTAGAGAAGGAAGTTTGATAGAAAATGAATATGCCAATCTCAAATCGAGCTGTATTTCTACTTTCATAGCTGTTGGATTTCTTGCTTGAACTGGATTTCTAACTATTCTGATTTTGCTGTTCTACTGTATACATGCTATTTGATTGTCGAATTGGCTTTGCTTGATGCATCTGTCGTGCTGGGGAGCGTTGGTTGCTTAGGCATATACATACTTTACATATTTGTGCCTCTTTCTAATGCAGTTGTCATTATCGCATCGTGTATCACAGTATAGAGGTATAGATATATTATCTCTGCATTTTACCTAGGAGTTATATAAGTCTTTGATGCTTGCTGGCTTCTGTTTTGGTATGACAACAAGCTTTAATGCTCGTCTTTAATACCCGTTTATATATTTTTGAATGCTGCCGTAGGAAAAGCACAAGAATTACCAATGACTACAAAATTATCCAATTTCATCTGAGCATGTGAAATTCATCAAATCTGACCAACGTTTAAAAATTTCGAATTACCCGCTGCCCTTTCTTTACTGAAGTCTACTGTAATCTCCGTATCTCTTTAATTCCGGCGGCCAGCCTTATCCCCGGCAGCCAAGGATTCTAGGATGGAAATTTGGAAGGCTTCATGTAAGATTTTAGTCGAGCAGTGACGTGATCTCTAATCTAGTCAGGAATTGATTTGGCACGGGATGTATTCTGTACAGGGATATATAAACTCTTTATTCAACCGTCTGCATAACCAGCATTATAACTTCGTCGCAGCCTGGCTTTTGTTTCTCTTTCTTTTCTCCCCAGGTAGTAAATTTTTTTTGTATATTATTATCTATTTCGTATTGGTACTCCGCCGCACTCATATACAAATTTGTATGACAGATGGATGAATTCAACGACTTTTTATCGCAACAAACAGCCCGGGGGAACAGCTGCGTCCATGGCTGCGTGTTGGCAGCAATCAACAAAGCAGGTAAGCAAAGGAGGAAGTTCACCATTCTGGCCTATTTCTAACTTCGACAGGAAAACTGTTTTATACAAAAGCATCTGGCTACGATGCTGTCGGTCATCATGGGCGCCCTGTAACGCTGGATACGACCTTCTGGATTGCGAGCTGCACCAAGATCTACACGATCATTGCAGCCATGCAATGCGTCGAGCGTGGGCAGATCACCCTCGACGAGCCAATCGACGGAATCCTGCCTGAATTGAAACGCCCTCTGATAATCATACCAGAGGAAAATGACGCGGACGAGGCGCCTTTCCGTCTCAGACCTTCAACAAAGAGAATAACACTGCGTCACCTGCTCACGCACACCAGCGGTCTAGAATATGATTATCACCCATTGTTGGTACGCTGGCGCGAATCACGGGGCGAGGCTCCAAGATTCATGGAAGGAAAAGTGATCGATGCGCTTGAGCTGCCTCTGCTCTTCGAACCCGGTGAAGGGTGGGTGTACGGCGTCGGAATCGACTGGGTGGGAGTAGCAGTAGCTCGCTTGAACGGCATGGACACGCTAGAAGAGTATTTCGACCGCTATATCTATCGCCCTCTGGGATTGTCCTGGACGACATTCCGTCTGGAAAAGAGACCCGATATCCAAGCGCGGTTGATCGGCACGGCGGAGAGACAGAGCGATGGCAGCCTGAAAGACACACCCAGTCGCTGGTCTACAGACGCACCGGAGGATTCCGGGGGAGCTGGGCTGTACTCGACTGTTCCCGAGTTCATCGCGGTTCTCGGGGACTTGATCAAGGATGAGCCTGTGTTGTTGGAGCGAGATACGATCGACGTGATGTGTGAACCTCAGTTTGAGGCGGGCTCGCCGTGCCTACTGTCGCTGATAGCATCTAAGGACGGTCTCCGATCGATGACTGGGGATATCGATGACACGTCTGGCTTGAACTGGACTCTGGCAGGATTGACTGCCATGAAGGACACGGGAGCGATGAAAAAGGCCTTCATCGCTGGATTTGGGATGCCGAACCTGTCATGGTTTCTCAACAGAGAGCGGGGGATCGCCGCTGTGTTTGCGACGCAGGTCAATCCTCCTCTCGATCGCCGTTGCTATAGGCTAGCGCATCGGTTTTTTGATGAAGTTTGGCAGTTGGCTTGATATTGGACCTACCGGAAGGATATCAATTTGTTGGCGTTGAAAGAGCTTGCTTCTAGAAAATGAAGGTTCAATGGCATGCCCAACCGATACATACTGGTGGTTAAATGACCACAAGACTGTGATTGTGTTTCTCTTTGCTGTGCTAGTGATTTCCCTGGCGAGATGACCTAGAACGTCGCTTACGTGAAGTTCAAAAGCTGAGTCATATCAGGAAAGTCCTGTGGTGAAAAAACAGGCTTATCATTCAACATTCCCGGATGATACCGGACAAAAAAAATATCTGGCAATTGTAGAATTTAACGAAGGAAGAAGCAAAGAAGGACAGACAAGATTTCCTTGCGAATAAACTTGATACCGATTTTCATGCTCTTGTTTCATCCAGATAATCTGTACGATGGACCAGACTCGTCTTAGGTAATTCTATCTGACGAGAGTAAGGCTAGTCATATAAAAGGCATCAATTATATTAATTACGAGTAATTAATTCTAGATTCAGCTGAAAAAAACCCCCACGTGACTGCAGGAAACCAGACACCGCATTGCCCAAGGCACCATCTGGTTGTCTTTTCAGTTCATGTCTACCGTTTTCTGTCAGTGATTCCTGCAACAATGAGACGACGGACTCTTCTCCAGTGGCGACTAGAATCCGGAAGAGTCACTTGAAGTCCACCCGTGGATCTAAGCCCTGCAAGCAGCATTGCGTCAATTGCGATGAGCTGTGGCCTCGATGGTAGGATCCATATTTCTTTCATCCTTCTTACTGCACGCGAAAGGACGCTCATACAGACGATGTGTAGTCGGTACATCCATTCAAATTAATACTTCCTGACATTTTGAGCTGATCGCTGCAGCTTTCTCAGACTGTCAACGTGATACGATCTTGTCTCTGTCATGCCGTGATCGCCTGCTCTGCGTCTTTCCTTTTTGCAGGCCACAAAGTCACTGGAAGCAGACAAGTCGCGAGTCGCCATATGTACTGTACCCAGCCATCAAAGGCTGCGGCAGGGGCTTTGATCATTTTCCAGGACGAATGCAGATGCATTGCCCATGACGTCAATTCTGCTGTCGATGCATTGTCACAAATGGTAAGCTAGCAGAAACCACCATCAGATCATTATGTCTGATCACTAACTCAGAGTCTCTGTCACAGGCGTAGCTGGAAGATATTGATCGATGGAACGTCGGCGCTGAGAGACTAACCCAGTATCTACCAGAATAGGGAAATATGTCTCACGATATGTAGTAGCGACGCAGCCGTTCAGTAGCGATTCAGAGCTTTCAGATTATCACCAGCGGAACGGACGCGACAACATTGGAAAAGAAAATGATTTTTCTTCGGATATCGAATGCTTGCTGAGCGAAGGCTTGGACTTTCTGAGCAATTTCCTTTGCTGTGTCTGTCCTGTCGAGCTGTTCATTATGCGGGACTGCTGATGAGGTACTCTTGCAGTGTTGTTGGTTGGTGGTGGAAAACTCAGGTGAGCGGATTCGAGACTCTTTTTTTCTTGTTTCACGTTGAAAAATATACGGAATGACTTGCAGTAGAAGGGCTGAAATTATTCCTGTCACGATGATACAGACAGACGACATACGAGAGCAGGGCAGTGTTGGAGGGGTCGCGGAATGTCGCTCATAGCGGAATAACATTCTAGCAGCAGATTATCTGGGCATTTCATATCCTTCCATTGACTCGGTGCTGTGATTCGATACAATATAAACTGGCAACACAGTCATACCAAGCGAATAGGTAACTACTCTGCAGGTGTATTTCTGCCGCTGATAGGTGGAGAAATCGAGAAATCCACGGACTCCCAGCAGCAGTCGATCCGTCAATCCGGATGCAGATCAGCTTGATTATAGCCTAATTTCTCAGCGAGTCACTGCGGAGGACGCGTTCTGGGCTCGCGGGGTTTGTCTACCCCGGATTCTCCGCATTCGACGCCAAAGATACTCGCGCTTCTCCACCCCCGCAGGAGTTTGACAGCTTCTAGACTTCTAGACGCGATGGTCTCGTGTTGCTGGACGAGCCAAGACTGGGAGATGTGGACTGTTCACCAACATGATTACGACTGCTATATTTATACGACACCCATTGCCTAGCCCAGATTCTCTCTCGTTTACTGTCTTATTGTCACTGATGTATTCCTAGCCATGCCAGAGTACGAGCACAACCTCTCCAAGTCCGCCGCCCACCACGTCGAAGACACACTCGGGCAGGGCGCCCTCGTCGAGGCCAAACGCGCTTCGGACGAGGAGCACGGCCAGACGCTGTGGCAGGCGATCAGCGCCAACCGCAAGGCCGTCGCCTGGTCGATGCTCATCTCCATGTCCATCGTTATGGAGGGCTACGACGTCATCCTGATCGGCAACTTCTTCGGATACCCGCAGTTTGTGAAGAAATACGGCCACGACTACGGCGGCTCGGTCGGCTACCAGGTGTCAGCGCCGTGGCAGACGGGATTGTCGATGGGCAGTACGGTAGGGACTGTGTTTGGTATGTCTCTTTCGGTTTCGATGTATTCACATACTGATACTGATCGCTGCAGGCGGCATCCTCAATGGATACCTCTCCTCGGCCATCGGCTACCGCTGGGTCATGATCGGCGGTCTTTTCTTCATGAACGCCTTCATCTTCGTCGTCTTCTTCGCTCCATCGCTGCCCGTGCTCCTGGTCGGCCAGATCCTCTGCGGCCTCGCCTGGGGAGTGTTTGCCATCGTCGGGCCAACCTACGCGTCCGAGGTCTGCCCGACCAACCTGCGCGGCTATCTCACGACGTACGTCAACCTCTGCTGGGCCATCGGCCAGTTCATTGCCGCCGGCGTGCTGGAGGGCCTTATCCACCGCCCCGACGAGTGGGCGTACCGCATCCCCTTCGCCCTGCAGTGGATGTGGCCGCTGCCGCTGATGGTGGTCTGCTTCTTCGCGCCGGAGAGCCCGTGGTATCTAGTCCGCAAGGGCCGTCTCGACCAGGCTAGACGCAGTCTCCGCCGGCTGGCAGGCAACAAGACGGAAGAGCAGATCAACGGGCAGCTGGCGATGCTGGTGCACACGGCAAGGATCGAGGCGCAGATGGAGGAGGGCGTCAGCTACTGGGACTGCTTCCGGGGCGTAGACCGGCGCCGGACAGAGATCTGCTGCGTGGCGTTCGCCGGCCAGATCCTGTCAGGTAGCACGTTCGCCTACTCGCCCAGCTACTTCTTCACGACGGCGGGCATGAGCTCGGACCGGGCGTACCAGCTCAACCTCGGGGGCACGGCCATCGCGTTCGTCGGGACGATCCTGTCCTGGTGGCTGATCACGCATGTGGGCCGGCGCACGCTGTACGTGGGCGGGCAGGGGATCCTAGCGGTGACGCTGTTCCTGATAGGCATCCTGAACGCCTCGTCCAAGTCATCCGGCTCGCTGTGGGCGCAGGCAGCCTTCTGCATCTTCTGGCTGTTCGTGTACTCGCTGACTGTGGGACCAATCGCGTACGCCATCGTGTCGGAGACATCGTCGGTGCGGCTGCGCTCGCTGACCGTGTCGCTGGCGCGCACGACCTACCAGCTGGTTAACATCATCTCGCAGGTGCTGGAGCCGTACTTCATGAACCCGACGGCGTGGAACGCGTCGGGCAAGACGGGCTTCTTCTGGGGCTGCACGGCGTTGCTGACCTTCCTGTGGGCGTATTTCCGCCTGCCGGAGGCGCGAGGACGGACGTACGAGGAGCTGGATATCCTGTTTGCCAGGAAGGTGTCTGCGAGGAAATTTGCGTCGACGCATGTGGATGCGTATGCGGAGGGGGAGATTGTGTCGGAGAAGAAGTGATGTGAATATTCCTAATCCTTTGGAATGTAAGAATTTTCCTAATCGAAACTCCGATCACTGAATTGATAGTCCTGCCGTAGGGTCTTTAGCACTGTATAAAACGACGCAGGTTCAATCCAAATATACCACTTAATATTGTTTACGACGTTCCTTTTTTTTTCCCGTTCAATTTGCCCTTTTGTATACCCCTGTCTCTCCAATTGAAGGGGTATTTATCATCCCGTTCTCAGGGGTAGTATAAAATTGTCGGCATTCCCATCAACACTCCGTTCAATCAGCACAAATCTGCACACAGAGATAAGATTCGGCACCATCTTCATCAACACACTCTTCATCAACTGCTAACGTCAGCGGCGGACTGGCACGAATCGACCGCTGCCACGCCGTGACTCCTAGCGGGCTATTAACTTCATTAGCGACGCGGGCCGTGACGGATCTCCGCTTGCCGCGCGATTCAGCGTAAACATCTCGGCCTCGGCCCCATCTGGCTGAGAGCTGGCGATGAGATCGTTGAAGCTTATAAACACCGACTGTTGCTCCCCTGTCCAATGGCGATGTTTCTTCACGGCACAAACTCCTGTCAGCTGACGGAAGGCTGCTTCCTTCGGCATCCAGGGTGTCAATCGTCCGTGATGGAGTCGCGTTGGAGGTGGAGGCCTCGTGGAAGGTGGGTTGGCTGGCCTGGCAGGGATTTATTCGCTCGTGCCTGTATCCAGGGATGATTCTTCAGTTTTTCGTGCCTGGTTTGAAACCACCTGATTGATCTCCCACATCCAACCACCGTTCGTATCATTTAATATTCATATAATCGCTCGCCATGTGCCAGAACGTCACGACTGACGGCCCTCTCGAGGCCGATGACAATCCCCTCGACACCGACTCGGGGTACCAGGAGTCGTAAGCCCGACCAGCAGCAGGCAATCGGATGCTGATCTCTGACGATGATTGCCAGGATCACCTCGGCCAGCTACAGGACATCCATCGCATCGAGCGTGCGGAACTACAAGTAGGTGCTCGGAAGGAATTTTGCGAATGTGATGCTGACGAGACCAGGTACGAGGTATGACGATCGAGAAATTAAATATGACCTACGAAATTGCTTCTGACGAGCATAGAATGGCCGCCGATACCACGCCTACCGTGAGGGAGAATACCTCATTGTAATGCCCCGTTAACCTGGGCGAAATGGACGATCTCTGACACGCGTCTAGCCCAACGACGAAGAGGAGCAGGATCGCATGGACCTGCTGCACCACGTCTACCGAATGCTGCTGGGCGGCGAGCTGCACCTCGCCCCCATCACGAAAAATCCCCAGCGCGTGCTGGACCTCGGCACGGGGACTGGTATGAAGACACACTGCAGTTTCTTTGGGACGGTGCTGACACTCGATAGGCATCTGGGCGATTGATTTTGCCGAGTAGGGTTCCTTCTGATTGGTATGCTGGGTCATAGATTCGCTGACGCGAGTCCAGCCAGTATCCCTCTGCGCAGGTTCTGGGTAGGTAGAGATTGAACTGATGAAATGAGCATGGCTAATGGAAAAAGGCAACGACTTGAGCCCGATCCAGCCGGGATGGTTCGTCTATCTCACACGTATATATATCATGATTGTTGCATCTCTGACGTGTGCAGGACACCACCCAACTGCTCCTTTGAGGTCGATGACTTCGAGGCCGACTGGCCCTACCGCACCCCCTTCGACTACATCCACGGGCGCGAGCTGGCGGGCTCGATCAAGAACTTTGACCGGCTCTTCTCGCAGGCCTTCAAGCACCTCCGCTCAGGCGGGTATCTGGAGATGCAGTCGTTCCGGATCGAGATCTTCTCGGACGACGACACGGTGGAGAAGAAAGCCGTCTACACGAAGAAGTGGATCGGGCTGCTGCAGGAGGCGGCGGAGAAATTCGGCAAGCCCATGGCCAACATGGACGAGTGGCCGGACAAGATGACCAAGGCCGGGTTCGAGGACGTGACGATGCGCATCATCAAGGTGCCCATGTCGCCGTGGCCCAAGGACCCCAAGCAGAAGGAGATAGGCACCTACATGCAGGTCGAGCAGTTGCAGGCGATTCCGGGATACACGACCGCGCTGCTCAGCCGGGTCCTGGGCTGGTCCAAGGAGGAGATTGACGTGCTGCTGGCCCATGTCACCAACGAGCTCAAGGACCGCTCGATCCACCAGTACGCGAAGCTGTACATCGTGTATGGCAGGAAGCCGTGACCGACGGATGCACTGAACGAACTCGGATGGTATAGTGCCTTTTTGTTGTCCTCGTTCTTTTTACCAGGGTGTTAGGCGACGTCATTCCTTCTCATGCTTTTATCCGTTCAATGTTTATACTTTCATTCGCAATATAGATTCTGCATATATGACGTGATGACCTGATGAGAATACCCCATTGCAATAGGAATATCTATTTACAGAGACACTTGATACCACCCTCAACAGACAAAATCAGAGCACGTTTCATGAACAAATCTCTCAGAGTGACAATAAGTATTCTAATAGATACTGCTAGTAATTTCGGACAAGTCTCCAGTGGAATCGATAATGCTGTCTTGATTTGGATACAACGAATAATCCATCCACGTATTCTTCCGTCGGTATCTACAGGGGTACCAGAGGCTGGTAGACCAGCGATGCGAGTATTGCAAATGTGATTCGCATGTCACTAATAATAACCGCAACGACAACTGTACGAGAAGATTTACGATTTTCTGTGTGATGTCAATATGAGAGTTGCGTACTGCCGATATATATATTATCGAAATGCACCACGCTCGACATTTCTGGAAATATATCTATAAACGGAGGGGGAAAAACGATACCTCGTCAGAGGGAAGAAAGTCGTGATAATTGCGTAACCACGCTATTTGTATAGATATGTACAGTACATCGATCATAAACCTGCATAGTTCACATACCATCAACCAGACCGTCCCGAAAAATAAGTCAAACATGAATAAGTTAAAAACCGCTGGGCTAAAGTTCCTACAGTGAATTTTTCCTTCCAGCCACGCTAAACCAAACTGTCAATGCTGCCCACGTTCTCCTCCGTTATCGACAAATCCGTCGTCTTGACGATGCCCGCGCCCATGACGCCGTCCTCGTCGCTCAAATTAGGACTGGCAGTGTTCGTCCGCTGACCACTGGCAGGGCCCGCGATGTCGACGACCTGGCTGCGGTTCTTCTGGCCCATCTCGAAGACGTCGTCCGGCGCCGGGTTCGACGCCACGTTACGCGAGTATCCCGGCCCGCTGGACCGGTAGTAGCGGTTGCCACTGGCGCGGGATTTCCCGTAGGCTGATGTACCGTCTCGTCTGGACGTGCCCAGCAGCCTGGGCAGGTAGCGGTTGGCGATGGTCTTCATGGAGGGCCCGCACGCGGCGATGACGGCTGTGTTGACTTCGACGGCGGACGAGGCGAAGCCGATATTGTAGGTAGGGTCGGGGTCGACGCTGCTGGGGAAGAAGACTTGCACGAGCTGGGCGAGCCGCCAGCATCCAATGGCGGTTGCACTGGATGTCAGTGAGCTAGGAGCAGTAGAAAATTCATGCATGGATGGATGGATGACTTACACCCCGCCCAGGGAGAGAATGCAGCACACGGCAATCTTCCGCCGAATGGGCATCTGCAGGGAATAGGTGATCATGATGGGAATCGACAGGACGAGCAGATCAGTGAAGATGGTCATCACGGCCGTCGAGACGTAGAAGGCGCCCTGGTTGATACACGTCCCGCCGGGGATGGTCTTGTCGAAGACAAAGCGCACGGGGTGGCACTGGAAGAGGTCAGCCAGCAGGATGGCGATGCACAGCAGCGCCGTGAACCAGAGGGTGCCCCAGCTGAGGTAGTAGACGGTGCGCGAGCGCGAGTCGAGGCGGAGGAGGAAGATGAGGACGGAGATTTTGACGAGCGAGAGGATGGGGTTGTAGAGGAGTTGGTTGGCGTAGTTCCACTGCAGACAGTGCTCAGCATGTGCCGGTAGAAAATAATGGGTAGCAGCGCTTACGATCTGCCCCTTTTCCACGTCGTAGTCCTTTGGGATTTCCCAGATGTGGATGCCCACGTAGTTGGTTTTGATGTCTGGGTCGTTAGACTAGACGCATGTAATCGACAGGGGTGGAACGACGTACAGTACCAGGACGTGATCGTTTCGCCCAGGGCAAGAATCTACAGAATCAGTCCATCATTTCCAGACGAGATACTGACGAATGACATACATAAGCAGCGAGAATCAGCCAGTCCTCTACCCAGAAGAACGTCAGCATTGTGAGTGCTATCGATAAAGGCGATAGCCTGATTGTCGATCGTTGCCTAAAAAACAAGACGACTCACCGATCAGGATCGAAGTCTGCGAGAGTCGGCGACTCCAGAATCGAAGGATCATGGCGATGCCTCCCAAGGCCGGAAAGGCGACGATGATGCCCAGGGCGACTTTCTGGTAGCTGTCGTCCATTGTCGATCACATTCTGAGAACTGTCCTCAGCAGCCTTCAGGTAAGTAAAAAATGAGAGAACAGGACGATACGACAGTCCTAACCTCCGGGCACTCGTCGGTTCTTCTACCCCGAGCAATTTATTTATTTGAATTGATCGATTAGATTGATTGGATGGATTGACTGGACTGACCCCTCCCGGAACGTTGGGAAAGTATCCAGTCCAGTTTGTGTATCTTAAACTCGGGCCTACTGCAGGCACGAGGGAGGCTGTCTGTCAAGTCAACTGTCGACCTGTGTTGGACGGTGATTAAGTTCGGCAAGACGCCACGGGGATATAGTCTGTATCGTATAGAACCGAGGACAGCAAGCAGTCCCTAGAGAAGGCAGGCATGCACAGCCATAATGGATTATTATCTTCGTATTATTATATTATATTAACTTGATAATAAGGATAAATTGAGTTCTACTCCGCGAAGTGTGAGTATTGCTTTATGATGCTAGGACCGATTCTCCGCTGACTGCAGGATTATTCTGTCCGGCGTCTTTCCCACAATCCAATATGAGTTCCTTTGTGTGTACGATCAGATCGAAGTAACTGTGCTGAATCCACCTTCCCACACTTCCGGTGTGACAGGGCCCTGGTCCCTGGTTCGTCTTCTCCACTCGATCCAAAGGTGCAGAAGATATGTCTCACAGATAGATACGCCGTACGGAGGACTAGCAGGATCCACCAGCTAGAGCAGCAAGCAGTTTCTGCCGAGAGGGTACCATAGCATTCTTATTCATTATTATTTGCATGCCGATGTTCGGCTTTATCCGCGGCGCTAAGCAGCGTGCTAGCTGCACATACTGCAGATTCTCACTCCCACGTCTGGAGTATCGTTAGCTGGGTTGCTAACTCGGCTGGAGAGGTGTGGTTGATGGTGTTCATCCGTTGTATCTACTCATACGCATGGAGGACCACTGCGATCTACCACTACATGTACTCCGTACTGGTCAAGAGTTACTACTTACGTATGCTCTACGGAATCCATCGGATCGTATTCGGCACGAGGCATGGTTGGCTGCCAGTGATGGATAGCTGCGTGTCAGATATCGAATTCAACGGGCCATCGACGGCAGGCAGGGGTCGGACGAACCGTACTCTGTAGCTCGATAGTACAGTAGGGCACTTTACCAGAAAGAGCAGGTGAAAGCAGGACATGTAAATGCATTAATATTCAGAAGAAGAATTCTACTACGGCAAGGAAATAATAACAATAATGAAGGAATTAAGCTGAGACAAGGCGCGGAAAAATTCCCGGCGTTGTTGCTTGGCATTATCCCACAATTAATTCGAATAATAATTATTCAGACAGGATAAAGTTCGACGGACAAGAAATCTAGGTATTTACTGCTTCACTACTAGACGATACTCCATCCTCAGCCATGGTTGCATGTGGGCTAGGCATTGTCTAGTCTCTGTTTACTTCTCGGCTATCTTCCGCTGCAGTATTCTGGTTTCAGGCGAAGACAGCCTTAATTCCGGGATTATGTCCGGAATTTAGTCGAGCATTCTGTGCTTAGCCTGATAGAAGAGTATCTCTGAATCGAACAGTGGTGAGTGTTCGTACTTCTTGTGATAGTGGGGTTAAAAAAAATAAAAATAACCGCGGGTGGCAAAACAGCAAAGAAAATATCCATGCACTGACACTGTTACTGCTGGCTGGGGTACACGATCGATCTCGATAAACGCAGTGGGCCGAGATCGATATCTTGCACGTGGGAGAATCGATTCCCCCGTTGTACTCCGTAGGTCCAGATCAGGGAGTGGAATAATACCGGTCAGTAAGATAGTAGAGGAGATAGACTGCCTGTGCGGCAACCCACGGAACGACCGCGCGTTTTATTTAGATTAGGTAGAAATAGCCGAACCCTAATGGAGACGGTGGATAACGATTAGCGACTGATAGGATTTCTCCGGTGGAGGATATATCGTTGGCGTCGTATTCGGTCTGGTCCAGGCCTGGATTGGATATCGGAGCGAGAACTGTTATGTAATGATCGAATTCAACACTAAGCACTAGGACAGGATAACTAGGACAGGATACGAAGTTATTCTAGGGAGTAGACACAAGCAGTAAACTACGGAGTACTCCCTAGTGTCTGGTTATTATGGTCACTGGCTCGTGCCACGCACTACTGCAGCCTGCCCAATGCGTCAGTCGACCATCAGAGGATTATTAAAGCCCCTGATCGCTCGCAGGCAAATATGAATACTACAGAGTAGAAGAGGACTGTGGGTGATTCAGATCCCCGCGAAGATCCAGCAAGAACTGATCGACAGCATAGATATGGTCGATCACAAACATCATTGATAGAAATATATCTTTCCAGCTAAATTCATAGCTTTATAAGAATAATCTCCTAATTTTTTCAGCTTGAATTTTTAATTTTATTTTTGTTTAATTGTAATTACAATAGCGCCTACCATCGCTAGTAATAAAATTATTGAAACAGCTAATATTTTTCTACACTAAAGTGTAATATAATTTTATATGGATAGTATACTAAAGGATTACCAAAACCTACAGTATCATGTAATGCAATTAAGTGCATTAATGCTAAAGCAGCTTATACGGAGTACTCCGTATAATACGGACATTGCATAACAAAGAAACCTCTTAATCATCTATCCCACCTTCCCCTCCCAGCAAAGCGCATCGGCTCCGATCGGAGGACTGTCTCGAAAGAGGATGGCTAGATCCCTTCGATAGTCTGTAGTTTCCTCCAGAGTAAGCGTCTTAGGGCTCGATGGCGCAGTTCCGACTCGGCCACGCGCTTGACAGGCTGGGTGACTATTGGCAAAGGTGGAACCGTGCCTTTTGAGGCTGGAATGCGCATTCTAGCCACGCCACCGCTATCGTGCTGTCGGCGATAACTACGAGTCTCCTAACACAAGCTTTGGCATAAGGAAGAATATAATAGCACTCAGAACGGAGTGCTCCTTATTGTGTCTTTAGGAATTTTTTTTGTTGTACTTTTCATTCTATTAGTTGTCAACAAGCATCAGCAACAACTCGCGGTTGCTGGTCTTGCAGTCATTCGTTTCTTAATCCCACGCTCGTTTCGTTTCTTTTAGCCTTTCGTTCTTCTTCCTGCCATCATGATCCCTCTGGCTCGTCTGGGCGGCGCTCTGCTGCTGGCGACGCTCGTCCAGGCGCAGTCTTCAACTCCTACATCCCTTGCGCCAGCTGCCCAGACGGTCTCCTCCTCCTCAGCTGCTGGCGCACCACTGTTCGCGACCGAGCAGGTCCAATTGACGCAGCCTGTGATCGACAACCTGACGACCACCCTGAACGAGTCCACCGCTGCCCTCTTCGCCTTTGGCAACAGCACCGCCAATTCCACACTCGCCGCTCGTTCTTTCGGCAGCTGCAAGGTCTTTCCGGGCGACGCTTTCTGGCCGTCGGAGCTGATCTGGGATATCTTCAACCTCCTGCTGGGCGGCGCGCTGATCAAGACCGTCCCGTCGGCCTCGCCGTGCTATAATGGCTGGGGAGACTTCAACAGCGCCGAATGCAGCGCTATCGCCGCGCAGTGGAACAATTCCAACTTCCAGTACGTGCGCAAGTCATCGTTTGCAATGGATATGTACCTGACGTGACTGCAGCGCCGCCGACCCAACCTCCGTCATGTGGCCGCTCTACGAAGGACGCAGCTGTCTGCCCACCGACATCGCTGTCTACAGCAACTGCTCGCTGGGCGGCTATCCCAGCTACGCGGTGAATGTCAGCAACGTCGCGCAGATCCAACTGGCCGTCAACTTTGCGCGCAATGCCGGCCTGCGCCTCGTCGTGAAGAATACCGGACACGACTTCTTCGGCAAGTCGGCGGGCGCCGGGGCCCTCAGTATCTGGACGCACCATCTGAAGGAAATCGAGTATCTCCCTGATTACCGCAGTCCGTCGTATACCGGTCCGGCCGTCAAGATGGGCTCTGGCGTGCAGGCGCAGGAGATCTACGCCGCGGCCAAGCAGTACGGCGTGACGGTGGTTGGCGGCGAAGGACGGGTGAGTCTGTCTTCCGAAGGAAGGGAATATCCTACTGATTTATTGTCTAGACCGTCGGTGTGGCAGGAGGCTATGTGCTGGGCGGCGGACATTCTCCCCTGTCCAGCGTCTACGGTCTGGCAGCAGACCAGGTGCTCGCCATGGAGGTCGTTCTTCCGGACGGGCGATTCACGACGGTGACGAATAAAACCAATCCCGATCTCTTCTGGGCCCTGCGCGGTGGTGGAGGCTGTAAGTCTGAATATTCGAGACGTGACTTATATCTGACTAACGGAGACAGCCACCTTCGGCATCGTCACGTCGATCATCTCGCGCGTCTATCCCCAGATCCCCGTCACATTGTCGACCTTTTCCTTCTCGACGGCCACCAGCCCGTCGGTGGACAACTTCTGGGCGGCGGTGCGCGCGTACTACGACCATTTCGTCGACTTCACGAACGCAGGCACATACGCGTACTTCTGGATCCTGCCGACGGGCAACGACTCGTACTCGTTCCTGATGAACCCCTTCTTCGCCGTCAACCACACGGTCGAGCAGTACAACGCGCTGCTGCAGCCGTGGTTCGACACGCTGGACAGCCTGGGCGTGTCGTACGCCCCCAGCACGACCTTCTACGACAACTTCTACGACGCCTGGGATGCCGGCTTCCCCCTTGAGACGGTGGGATCGGTCGACATGATGACGGGCTCGCGCCTGTTCCCGCGGGCCAATTTCGTCAACGAGACGCTGCTGAATATCACGTTCAACGTGCACCGCCAGACGCTTGAGGCCGGATATCCGATCCTGGCCTTCCAGATGAAGGCGGACCTGCCAGCGGACGCGACGCCCAACGCAGCCAACCCGGCATTCCGGCAGATGCTGATGCACGCCATCAGCTCGACGACGTTCGCGGCTGGGGCGAGCAACGCCGAGATCCTGGCCGACATGAACTACTTCACGTTCGACGTGCTGGGGCCGTGGCGCGAGACGTGTCCGGAGTCGGGGGCGTACATGTCGGAGGCGGATCCGCTGGAGCCGAACTGGCAGCAGGCGTTCTACGGGGAGAACTATGCCAGACTGTACAGCTTGAAACAGCAGTACGATCCGACGGGGCTGCTGTATGCGCGGACGGCGGTAGGCAGCGAGGACTGGGAGGTGCAGAGTGTCGACGGGCTGCCGGATCAGAATGGGCGGCTGTGTCGGGTGGGCAGTAAGTAGGTCATAAGTATACTGTATATACTATAGAGAGATTATAATTTCAGTATATATGTATATACGGTAGTTTCGAAGCTCGAATATGTTCGTTCGATATTCGCGTCTCACAACAGGATGACAAAGACAATGGAAGACATATCTGTACATGTAGCTAGGGAATTCGATAAGAATCTACTCTAGTCGATCTGGTATGAAGGGCGAGAGACCATCACTGAAATAGTCTAAGCTATGATTTCCACGGACAAGCTCTGCAAAGGAAGTCATTCAATAGGCTTAGCTCTTTCAACCCCGCCGTCATTAAGCTGGCTCTAATACTGCCAAGTCCCTCAATTGATCTGCAGACTGACCCAGACAACAAGCAAGCTATGCAAGGATACACTGCGTTGTCACTGCGTACGACAGGTCTGGTGGGCATTCCGGCTTTGCAGTGCTCGATTTTGCGTATGCAAACATTGGTGCAGTTTTGGCACATGGACTTTTTTTACTTAAAAACATAAATTATCAACATAATTATAGGGTTTTCTTAAACAAAAAAAATAAATAATAAAAAAAATAAATAATAAAAAAATAAATAATAAAAAAATAAATAATAAAAAAATAAATAATAAAAAAAATAGAATAATAAAAAATAGAATAATAAAAAATAAATAATAAAAAATAAATAATAAAAAATAAATAATAAAAAATAAATAATAAAAAATAAATAATAAAAAAATACAAAACTGCACCAATCTTTGCGTATGCTAAATCTGCCAGCTTGGTTTCCTCGAACCGATCAATATGAATATTTGATAAAGACTTGAGAAGAAGCTCGACTTGGGTTAGGCAGTACTAACCTTTGATACCTAGTGAAGGGGTCATATGACTGTGTATAGGGATTCAGTGGCCGTTTAAGGAGAGATGGATCCTAGAAGAAAGTTAACTTCTTTTAATCTAAACAAGTTTAAGGTGGGTAAAAAAATACACCATTTTCCGTGCTATTCCCAAAAGCAGGTCAAGGTATCTCTTCACCTTTTGAACTTGGCTGTGGAGACAAGAGTTTTATGTCAGCCAGCCACCACCTGAATTCATATTTAGGTGACCTTTGTCCCTTTTAATATTTGATATTGCAATGTCTTTCGTCAGCCATGTGTTCAGGATCGAAGTCCTTCTCTGTCGATGAAAAGATGTTTTCATTGTTAAATGCAGAGAAAAAATAATACAAGGTAGAATTCATAGAATACTACCCCAGGCTTCATGAATCGCTGAACTCATCTATACAGATAGATGGAAGAAGCTAGGTTCATGCCCTATGATCCCGCAAGAGTGTTCTCTGCATCGCTATAGGTCTACTGTCAGCCACACATATGAAGCTGCAGAATGTGGGGAAGAGGATCTTCGGATTAGCTCGCGGTTTCCTGCAAGAGTTAGGCAGGCCAATCTGATGATATATCACTGTGTATCCAGAAAACTCACGCAGATCTCTTAAGCTTGTTTGGCAACAATGTGCTGGCAGTCCAAATTCAAAGCCAGAAACATGCAGACTAGCATGTACTGTACCTTAGGGTGCATGGGCAGAAAGAATGACTAATCCGGCTCTCAGGATTTGGCGTAGTTGCCCTTCACTGGAGAAGATTATAAGCTTCACAAGCATCAATATAATCTTATTCTTGTCGATCACTACCGGATTCACAGCCTCCTATGACAAGGCGAACCCCTCGTGTTGTTCTTCAGCGGAAAGACCTCTTCTACCAGTCAGCCACATCAAGTCCCTCTGATCTGGCGGGGCAGAAGAGATATAAAGGCATGTCCATGACTGGTTTCCCATCAACCAGCATCTCCAGTCTTCTTCCATCATAGCAATTCCATCTAACTCCAATCCTGCGCCCTTGCGCTTCCAAAATGAAGTTCCTCCTCACCGCGCTCTGCCTTTCCGTTACTGTATTGGCTCAAACACCTCTACCACGATTACCACCACCACTCGGGCCAATAGACGGCTACTGAGAGATCATCAACAGTGATAGCCCGGTACCCTGCAGGGAGTGCGCGTCCCCTGACTGCCCTGTTATTTCAGCGTTCATCCGGGCAGTTACCAGGACGTGTGGTGCTATGCTGTTAAGGGCTGCAATGAACGCAACTGGTGAGCCGGGACAGATATCTATCAATCAATTACTTTTATCTATCCATTTTATAAGACATTCTGCTAACATTATTGCCAATCCGTCAAGCACCTGGGACTTCCTCACGTACCATATCTGCTTCGTCAATCATCAATACACTGATGACAACTGCGACCCTCGTATCTGTTATTATTACTACCCCGGTAGAATTTTGACTGGCTAACATCCACCGATTTCTTTCCCCTTTCAGGCAAGCTTCGGAAATGTCCTCGCAAGCTGGGCAGCCCTCCTTCACCTTAGTGGTTCACAGGAGAACGTAGGTTGTCCTTCTGTGCCCCAGTATGTTTGAAATGTTCTTAATCTCGATGTTCGTTGGGATGACTAGCTGGTACGACAGGCGAAGGGTTTGAAGGGACAAGCCAGGATCAAGCAGATGTATCTCGCGAGATCAGGTCAACGTGATAGCCGGCTGTGTGGTTTGGAAAAAGTAGTTAGCTTTGAACAGGATACTCTTGATTTCTACGCATACGGTACGTTCTATTGAGCAATTTACATACAGACGCTGAGTGAATTTTTTTTTTCAAGAAAAAAAAATATTACACCAAAATGATTCAATTATTCTTCTATATTACTTTCGTCGAATTGTCATTCATCGAAGTCTCAATGGAAATATCTTGAGGTGTATCCTCAGGGATTAAATAGTGAGTCTGCCGTTTACTCGCTCGACTTGGGGGATCTGAGTGACAATTATCTATCGTCATAATAGTTTCAAAGCGTTCTCTCATGTTTCAGATTGTAAGCTGTGTAATTCACAGTTATCGCATCTCATCTTATCTGATAGAGCCACATGCTGATATGACTGCTGCTGATGAATGTTGATCCACAGACGTACCTAGGCTCCACTGACCTCGCTATCTGATTTAGCGTATGCAAAATTTGGTGCAGTTTTGGCACCCCAAAACCTCAAAAAATTGCAACTTTTGTATCGGAAGCCCTCCAAACCACCAAAATACTGATTTTTCTCACCAAATCCCATCGATTTTTTACTGAATTTGTCATATCTGAGGTTTTTCTGACTTTCTAATTAGGAAATTATAGCCTATATTCAAACCGATATCGAGATGTCTGCGAATCGCGCTCCTGCCGCCACTACCCTACG